TGACACAAAATTGCAGGTCTCAATTTTTGTTCAACTTGGGATAAGCAGTGTTGTACTTTAAGGTGATGTAATTTTAGCTCTAACATAAGACTTTTAATTTTATTAACCTCCATTCTTCTGTGCTTCAAAGCAAAACAAACCCACTGCCATCGAGTTGTTTCCAAGTACTAGTGACCCCCATTGGTTTTCTAAGGCTGTAAATCTTTATGGAAGTAGATTACCTCATCTTTCTATTCTCCTGTGTTAGGCAAATGTAAAATTTCTGACTCACCTTTTGAAATATGAAAAATAACTTGGGAAATGTCCCACAGCTTGGGAGGTCTAAGATGTCCATTAGCAGATGAAAAGTTTAAATCAACAGGATGCATACTCTGGTGTGATGGGTACAGGCTGCAGTGCATTTATCTTCTTTCCATTCCTGTGGTCTTATACTGTAAATCTGTGTATAAAAGTTTCTCTAACGCACTACAAAGCCTTAATCATATTTATTAATTAAAAAAAACCCTCAGTGCTGTCGAGTCAGATCTGACTCATAGCGACCCCTCCTTGGGTTTCTGAAGCTGTATCACTACAGAAGTAGGTTGCCCAACCTTCCTTCCGCGGAATGGCTGGTGAATTTGAACCGCCAGCCTTCTGGTTAGATTCAGGGGAAAATGTGTGGATGGTGTCTGGCTGACTGCTGGTTCACTGTGTTAAACAGAAAGTTCAGTGTAAGCATTTGAGAGAGATACTGAACACCATAGTCCTCTCTCTAATTTTAGCTGATCTGTTTTGCAGTTGCTGATGGGCAAAGTGAGTACAGTATTCTATAAATATGACAGGTTTCTTAGTGGTTACTATTTTGAATATTGTCTGGGGCCGTCTCTTAGGATGTTAGTTGTCAAGATGCTGGGAGTTGGCTTGCTAGCTAGAGTGCATGCTCCCTGAAGGCAAGTCTGACTCTTCTCAATTTCTGCCTCTCTCTGCCTTCTTGTGCAGTATTAGGCCCATAGTGGGGCACTTGGTTCATGTCATTGGCCTACTGCCAAATAGAATATGGACTTTCTTTGACCTCAGTTCTTCAGTTCTTATTTTGGCTTCTTGATTTCCTTGTTTCAAGTACCTGCCTTATATAAGGTCTGACTTTTTTTGGGGGGAGTCATTTAAATTTGTGAATGGTAGAGAGAATAGTGTAAATTCTGTTTTCACTAGAAGATATATTACAAACTACATGCTTTGTGTAACTTTATCAATCATTGTTCTGTCAATTTCGTTTCATTGATTCCTCCTAAACTCAACTCTTACCTTCTCTGCACTTTTGTCTCCTTTCTTTCCTTCCCTTCTTTGGAGTGTTTGAACACAAGTTCCATGCATTTTCCTTTTCACCTGTAAATATTCAGATAGCATCTGTAACTATTAATAATATCTTTTCTCTTTTAACATAATCATGTTAAAAGTTGTTTAAAGTGTTAAAAGCACACCAATAAAATTAACAGCCATTCCTTTTGTATTATTCAGTCCATATTCAGATTTTCCCTGAAGTATCACAGATGTCTTTTTTAATCCCCCTCCTTTTCTTTTTCAGAAGTCATTGGTTGAAGAAGCTGCATCACTTGCCCTAAGCTTACTCTAAAGATTGCTTCCTTGAGATATTGTTAACTCGTGTTTCTTATAAACTGATAGTTAGATCTGGAGGCATGATTAGATTCAGGCTCAACTATCTGACTTACTGATATCTATATGTGAAGAACCAAAACAAAACCAAACTCATTGTCGTTGAGTTGGATCCGACTCCTAGCGACCCCTCTTTGGGTTTCCAAGGCAATATCAGCTCTGGTAGCATAGTGCCTAAGGCATTTGACTGTTAACCAGAAGGTGGTGGTTCAAACCCACCAGCCACTCCTCCAAAGGAAGATTGGGCAATCTACTTCTGTAGTGATACTGCCTCAGAAACCCAAGGAGGGGTTGCTATGAGTTGGATCCGACTCAACAGCAGTAAGTTTGGTTTTGGTACCATCACCACAGAAGTAGATTGCCCAATCTTCTTCTGAGGAGTGGCTGGTGGGTTTGAACTGCCAGCCTTCTGGTTAGCAGTCAAATGCCTTAAGCACTAAGCCACCAGAGCTCCTGTATGTAAAGAGGAGATAATGATAGTTGAGTGTGAGAGTAAGACCTCTTCTCTGAAATCAGATAGAACAGAAGTGGGCGTGGGGGTAGACAGACAGAGCCAGCTGATGATTAGTGCAGTAATATGGGGAAGCTGAATTGAGCTAAAATTCTCAAACCCAGCTGTGAAACCAGGAGCTGGCCTGCAGCATGACATGGAGAGGGAGAAGTCCCATCTCTTGTTAGGAAGCTTTTTCAGGTAACTTCTAAATGATGAGCAACTCTCAAGCTATAGCTTTACCGTTGAACACAGGGATTAAGAAAGGTCATTTGAGGGAAAACAAAGATATGAAATGGACCCAGAAAGGGAAGAGGCGTGAGAAGGAAAAGAATGAGACTGGGCCACAGTCAAAGTGTGGAGCTGAACTTGTACTGTTTGTCACCATGGCCTCTAATGAAACTTCTTGTCCAAGTTGTAAGAGCAGGCGGTGGCACAGAGGAGCATCCAGCTCTTCAGGAATTTCCTGACTTGTTGAACTTCCCAGAGCAGCCACTGTCTATGGTCTGTGTTGGGGATTGGCCGCCACACCATGCTTGAGTCATAGTTTATATGAAATAACTCCATCAGCAGCAGCAGTGAATGCGTGCCTGTGTGACTGCTTAAACAGAAATGCACTGGGGTGAAAAGATTTATTCTAAGAAGTGCTCCCATACTTTTGAGAGTAGAGAAATAATCTCTGGACTCACCAGTGATAATGGTCTCAGATATGTTGGCTTTGGAGAGGGCTTCCCCAAAGCCAAGATGTCTTCTCTTTTTGGCAACTGGTAGGAGAGACTTGGAGACATCAGAGATGAGTGGTAGCCACATGTGTACCAGGAGCAGCATCAGGATGTAAGAGAGAACGACTTACCTAGGTATGTTATCCTGGCATTTTACTTAACACCTCTTTCCCTCAGTTTTCCCATGTCTAAAGTGGAGGAAATAATCCTAATAATTGCCTTGTGGAATTGTGTGAGTTAAGCAAAATACAAGTAATGTGTTAAGAACTATGCCTGGCACCTAGTAAATTTTCATGCAAGTACCTAGAATAGTGTCTGACATTTTATTGCACTCAGTAAATATGTATTCTGTGAATGAATAAATGGTAGCATAGTGGCTAAGGCACTTGACTGCTAACTAGAAGGCTGGCGGTTCAAACCCACCAGCCATTCCTTGGAAGGGAGATGGGGCAATCTACTTCCGTAGTGATACTGCCTTGGAAGCCCAAGGAAGGGTCGCTATGAGTTGGTCTGACTCAAAGGCACATAACAACAACAACAACATGGTGCAAAGATAAGGCATTATTATTGTAAGCTTGTGTTGGCTGATACCATGTAGGTATGTATCAGCTTTGTGAATGAAGAAAGTTATAGTTTTATTTACATAATTTTTAGGTGGTGTGTATACATGTAATAAAATCAAGTCAGCTTAATGGTTCTCATCCAACCCTAGGAGAGTGTCTGAAGCCCTGTGTGTGTAAGCTGGTTTATTTTCTAAGTCCTCTGATGCTGGAGTGCTGCCATCTTTGGGAATTGTCCTCTAAGAGCTTCTAGCATTGTTTTGGCTTCTCTGTCGTGGTTCTCAGCATTTGTTACAGATACAAGTGTATCTCTTATCTCCCTTGTTGGGTGTAGGCTCTTGGCGAACAGACTTTCCCATAGTGCTCTGCATGAAGTAGGTGGTCAGTGAATACTGGGTGACTTGTTTTCAGCAAGACAAGAAAATTCACTTGATTTTTCTTTTCTTTTCTTTTTTTTAAGGAAGCATGGCTAATAATGTGTGTTGGCAAGACTGGCCACATGTGGGTTTCACATCACTTGTTGCATCTGCCTATGTGATTTTGTCAAACTGCCATGGTCTGTAAACTGTAGGGATTGACCTGAATGTCAATCAGGTGTGAGTCTTGACCCTGCTTGCTATAAGGTGTGTAGTGAGGTGGCAGAGGTGGGCCAGAAACAAGCCGAGAATTATAGAAAAGTAGAAGGCAGTTTGTGCTATCTGCCAAACGATGGCCCAGATAAAAAGTTCTTTGGACTTCAGAAGAGACAGTACAGCCTGGAAGTTGAGGAAGGGGAGGTTTTGAGAAGGGGCTAGGCAACAGCCACATTTATAGAGAGGACATGTATTACTTTTTTGCTTGATTGACAAGGTGAAGTTTGTTGGCCTTGAGATTCTTCTCTCTTTTTGCTATAGTGAACCTGGAATTTGAGTCAAGCAGAACCTAGATGCCTTTCTGGTTCTGCTATTTCTTTATTGCATGATAATCTGGTCATTAAAACTGCTTTCAGTTGAAAGACCTGACTGGCACTTCTCTGTCAATCTCAGTTTCCGTAGCTGTAAAACAGGGACGAAAGCGGTATCTACTTCATAGGGTTATTCAGCGCTGCTATCAGATGGGCTCCCCAGTCTCTCTAAGGGGGTTAGTTCATACACCCTCGTGGAGAGGAGGGAGGAGTTGCTGCACAACTCTCCTTTTCTCTTGACTTCCTTCAGAGCCCCTTCTTCCTTAATGCATCTCTAGCCTGTTCATAAATGGGCTGTGATGGACCACTTGGATTACCATGTAGCAAGTCCTGTGAGGGTGGATCTAATGTCTCTCTTCAGAAAGTGGGTGTATTTATCACCCTTATCCTTAGCTTCGAGCCGACAGGAAGAGCCCCATTCTGTTCTTACGTAAGGTTCATAGTGCAGTGCCTGGTACATACTAAACAGCCAGTGAATGTTGGCTCTTACCATGAGTTCTCTTCTTTGGGCTTCATTTTTCTCATCTGAAAAATGAGACTTCTAGTGACCTTTGCTCTGCTTGCCCCTTTGGGCTCTTAGGAGGCGCCTCAAAGTTAATTATTAATAAGTTGATATTATTTTTATATTTCAGCCTCAACAGAATGGGATCTCACCACGCATGTTTAAGGCCTTTGTAAGCAAGAGCCACCCAGAATTCTCATCGAACAGACAGCAGGATGCCCAGGAATTTTTCTTACACTTGGTGAACCTAGTAGAGGTGAGTAAGTAAACCTTTATTCAAAAACGTTCAAAGAAGTTTTAAGAAGCCCTTAAGTAGGGTCTACTGTGGCTTGGCCAGAAGGCTTCCCCTCTCCTCTTTTCTTACCTGGATCTGTCTCTGCCATAGCTGGGTCAGAATCAGCTTCTTTGAGAAGTCTTTCTGTGCTCAGCTTACTGCATGCAGTTGCTCCTCAGACCTCATTTTCTAGTCATTTGTGCATCTATCTGTTTTAATTTGCACGTGTGATAGGATTGTCAGTTATTTCATGCATCATTTTTTTAGTACCTGTGACAGAACTTTTCGAGGGTCCTTTGTGGTATTTGCTGCCACCACTCAGAGAAGATCACACTTTGTCCAAAGCAGAGTCCACCATGGTAGACACACTTTGCCCAAAGCAGAGTCAAATCACATTAAATGCTGAAATAGGCTCTGCCTATCACTTCTACACAAAACCTGGAATACAGTCAGTCCTTCACAAAAGAAAATCACATAGGGAGTGAAGAAAAGATGAAAAGGGACAAGCAAACCACTAGGTCACTATGAGTTGAGTCCAACTCGGTGGCACATAACAACAGCAACAACCTATGTCAGTTGTGGGCCCCAAGTAGCCCGAAATTAATCTCTCCCCTTCCCTCCCCATCCCAGCAACCTACAAAGTGAGTTCCATTTCCCAAGCAAACCCTTCTTTGTCTTTTTACAGTAATGGGCTCATACAGTACTTGTCTTTCTGCAATTGACTTATTTTACTCAGCTTGATGTCCTCCAGGTTCATCTGCGTTATGAGATGATTTGCGTTAAATGCTGAGGTTTTAAAAGCCACCGAGGATTCCTAAATAAAGGCTTGCTTTTTTTTTTAAACAAACATAAAAATCAAGAACATTTTTCTGATGATAGAAGTGACACATGTTTTTTGTAGAAACCATGGAAAAACACAAAGGAGAAAAAATCTTGCATCACACCAGCCCCTGAAAACAATCAGGGTTAACATTTTGGTGTCTGACCCTCCTGTGATTTTACAAGTGCATATGTTAATTCTGTACACATTTTTTTTTAAGTCGTGTTTTTCCACTTAACTTCTTGTGAACATTTTCTCACATCAGTACATATTCTAATATGGCATGATTTCCTTTTTATTTGTATGTAATTATATGAGTGCATTTATATAATCTTATCACATATGTCTTAATTTTCCAGAGGGTCCTATATTTTTTCCCCTTTCTCTTTTTTGATTGACTTCCCTTCCTTAGTTCTTCTAATTTATGTGAGTCCTCTTTCCCTGATTTCCAACGGTTGTGTAACACTGACTCACACAAACTTTATTTTATAGTCCCCTCTTTTGGGACTTTGTAAATATTCTGGTGTTTTGCTATTAAAATATTTTGAAGAACTGGTTTGCCTACAGGAAATTTTCAGTAGTGCCAGACCAGTGGCACTATTAAAATTAAGAGCGATACATCCATTCTATTGACTTGGTTTACATTTGATTTCTTGCTAATTTTCACTTATAACCTAATATTCATAAACTTGCTAACCTGATATAATGCAACCTTTAGAGGAACCGCATTGGTTCAGAAAACCCCAGTGATGTTTTCCGGTTTTTGGTGGAAGAACGTATTCAGTGCTGTCAGACCCGCAAAGTCCGCTACACGGAGAGGGTGGATTACCTGATGCAGTTACCTGTGGCCATGGAGGCAGCAACTAACAAAGGTAAAAGTTGCAAAATGGGATGTAAGTACCATGTTCCTTTATTTGTGTAAATTCTCGAACCAGAGAGAACACAGTTTAGTCACTGAAAAGTTTATCAGGGTAGATGCAGCCCACCTGGTGTGTGGTTTGCTTGTCCCTTTTCATCTTTTCTTCACTCCCTATGTGATTTTCTTTTGTGAGGGACTGACTGTATTCCAGGTTTTGTGTGGAAGTGATAGGCAGAGCCTATTTCAGTGCTATAAATTTGGTTAGGCAAATACAAATGAAATGGAACGTATAAAGATTGATATCCTAGGCATTAGTGAGCTGAAATGGACTGTTTTTGGCCATTTTGAATCAGACAACCATATGATCTACTGTGCCGGGAATGACAGTTTAAAGAGGAATGACGTGGCATTCATCATCACAAAGGATGTTTCAATATCAGTCCTGAAGTACAATGCTGTCAGTGATAGGATAATATCTATATGCCTACAAGGAAAACCCAAGGAGCTCTGGTAGCATAGTGGCTAAGACACTTGCCTGCTAACCAGATGGCTGGCGGTTCAAACCCACCAGCCGCTCCTCGGAAGGAAAGTTGGGCAATCCTACTTCCATAGTGATACTGCCTTGGAAACCCAAGGAGGGGTCGCTATGAGTCGGGGCTGACTCGACGGCATATAACAACAACAACAAGGAAAACCCATAAATACGACTGTTATTCAAATTTATGCCACAACCACCAAAGCCAAAGATGAGGAAATTGAAGATTTTTATCAACTTCTGCAGTCTGAAGTTGACCGAACTTGCAGTCAGGTTGTGTTAATTATCACTGGTGACTGAAATGTAAAAGTTGGAAACAAAGAAGAATCACCGATAGTTGGAAAATTTGGCCTTGGTGACAGAAATAATGCTGGAAATTGCCTGGTAGAATTTTATAAGACCAACAACTTACTCATTGCAAACACCTTTTTTCCACAACACAAATGGCAGCTGTACATGTGGACTTCACCAGATGGAACACACAGTAATCAGATTGACTACATCTGTGGCAAGAGGTGATGGAAAAGCTCAATATCTTCAGCCAAAACCAGGCCAGGAGCTGATTGTGGAACAGACCATCAACTGCTCATATGCAAGTTCAACTTGAAGTTAACAATGGTTAAAACAAGTCCAAGAGAGCCAAAATATGATCTAGACTATATCCCTCCTGAATTTAGAGACCATCTGAAGAATAGATTTGATGCATTGAACACCAGTGACAGGAAACCAAACGAATTGTGGGATGACATCAAGAGCATCATCCATGAAGAAAGCAAGAGGTCACTAAAAAGACAACAAAAGAAGACCAAAATGGATGACAGAAGAGACTCTAAAACTTGCCCTTGAGCTGAGAGTAGCTAAAGCAAATGGAAGAAATGACAAGATAAAAGAATTGAACTGAAGATTTCAAAGAGCATCTTGAGCAGACAAAGCCAATTACTATAATGAAATGTGCAAAGACCTGGAGTTGAAAACCAAAAGGGAAGAACACGCTCGGAATTTCTCAAGATGAAGGAATTGAGGAAAATATTTAAGCCTCGAGTTGCAATATTGAAAGATTCTAAGGGAAAAACATTGAATGATTCAGGGAACATCAAAAGAAGATGGAAGGAATACACAGAGTCACTGTACCAAAAAGAACTGGTTGATCTTCATCCATTTCAGGAGGTGGCATATGATGTAGAACCAATGGTACTGAAGGAGGAAGTCGAAGCTGCAATGAAAGAATTGGCGAAGAACAAGGCTCCAGGAATTGATGGAATACCCACTGAGATATTTCAACAAATGGATGCCGCACTGGAGGCATGCACTTGGTTATGCCAAGAGATTTGGAAGACAGCTACCTGGCCAATTGACTGGAAGAGATCCATATTTGTACCCAGTCCAAAGAAAGGTGATCCCACTGAATGTGGAAATTATCAAACAATATCGCACACAAGTAAGATCTTACTGAAAAGAATTCAAAAATAGTTGCAGCAGTATATTGACAGAGAACATCCAGAGGTGCAAGCTGGATTCAGAAGAAGACATGGAACAAGGGACATCATAGCTGCTGTCAGATGGATCTTGGTTCAAGGCAAAGAATACCAGAAAGATGTTTACTTTTGCTTTATTGACTATGCAAAGGCATTTGATTTTGTGGATCATGACAAATTATGGGTAACATTGAGAAGAATGGGAATTCCCAAACACTTGATTGTACTCATGAGGAACCTTTACCTTGACCAGGAGGCTGTCGTTTGAACGCAACAAGGAGACACTGCATGGTTTAAAATCAGGAAGGGAGTGTGTCAGGGTTGTATCCTTTCCCCATCCTTATTCAATCTATATGCTGAGCAAATAATCTGAGAAGCTGGACTGTATGAAGAAAAATGTGGCATCAGGATTGGAGGAAGAATCATGAACAACCTGAGATACGCTGATGATACAACTTTGCTTGCTGAAAGTGAGGATGACTTGAGGCACTTACTGATGAAGATTGAGGAACACAGTCTGCAGTATGGATTACATCTCAATATAAAGAAGACAAAAATCCTCACAACTGGACCAATAACCAACATCACGATAAATGGAGAAAAGATTGAGGTTGTCAAAGAATTCACATTGCTTGGTTCTACAATCGAGGCCAGTGGAAGCAACAGTCAGGATGTTAGACGATGTGTAGCACTGGGTAGGTCGGCTGCAAAGGAACTCTTTAAAGTGTTGAGGAGCAAGGATGTCTCTTTGAGGACTAAGGTGCACCTGACACAGGCCATGATATTTCCAATCTCCTCGTATGCACGTGAGAGCTGGACAATGAATAAGGAAGACCAAAGAAGAGTTGATGCTTCTGAGTTGTGGTGCTCGCAAAGAATGCTGAAGGTACCATGGACTGCCAAAAGAACTAACAGATCTGTCCTGGAAGAAGTGCAGCCGAGATGCTCCTTGGAAGCGAGGATGGCCAGACTTCGTCTCACCTACTTTGGTCATGTTGTCAGAGGGGACCATTCCCTGGAGAAGGATATCATGCTTAGTAAGGTGGAGGGTCGACAAAAGAGGGGAAGGCCTTTGACGAGGTGGATTGACACGGTGGCTGCGACAATGGGCTCAAGTATAGCAAGGATCGTGGGGCTGGCGCAGGATTGGGCGGTGTTTCTTTCTGCTGTGCATGGTGTCGTTATGAGTCGAAGTGACTCACGGCAAGTAAGAACAACAACAAGAAATTTGATTAATTGGTTGGTTTGGGGTCATCTTAATTTTGGGACAGATTATTTGTAGTAATACACATAGAAGAGTCTTCAATAACATCATCCATAAGTTATAAACTCCAAGAGGAAATGATAATTGAATATTTTAATGTTAGACATTCAAGCAGCGGTCTCCTCTGAAACAGTGCGGCTTTGGTGTTTTGGGTATTTAAGACACTTCTCGGGTATAATTGTGGCAGAGTCTTTATAGGAGTGAGGCCCAACAGAAGGTTCTCTGGAGTTTGGAAGGGAGAAGGCAGAGATGCTTTGCCATGCTGGGGTCTTGGAGAAGGTTCCTTCTCTTGCCTTCACTCTAGTCTGGTGCTTTCAAGCAAAATACAGGAAGGTAGTTTTTAGAATTAACATCCTAGAAGTAGAAAAAGGATTGCTTATCTCTTGAGAACTGGTCATTTTTGTAAAGCTTGACAAGTTCTTGGATGGCATTGTTAGCTCTTTTCTGTTTTATTTTTTGGTCAGTTTATTGAGTTAATTGGAAGGTGATCATTGTGGTGATTTTAAGATGAAATGATAGTCCCTGGGTGGTGCCGATGATTAACATGCTCAGCTGCTAATTGAAAGGTTGGAGGTTCATGTCCTCCCAGAGATACCTTAGAAGAAAGCCCTGGTGATCTACTTCTGAAAAATCAGCCATTGGAAACCCTGTGGAGCACAGTTCTACTTGACACATGTGAAGTCACCATGAGTTGGAATTGACTCAACAGCAACTGGTAAAGATGAAATGATTTCTGTTTTCTATAATAAGCTCATGGAGCTTTTGACCAGTTCTCTATGCTTTTTCTATCAGACAAAATAGAAATGAGGGCTGAGTCTATGAGTTGGTTCTTTTTTATAACTAAGCTTAATTGCCACTTCTTGCTCCCCTCAGGAATATTGACTTACTTACATGTTCCGCTCTATACTGTGATCTTCTGTAACCCACTGTTTAAGTTTTATGAGTGGTAACTATATTTTTCAGGAAAGAGATTTATAATTTAGTTTCTGGAAATTGACTGCTGGGAATGCCTGATGGTAACTTCCTAGATAATAAGTACGTCATAAACTGATATGGACCGGAGAATGAATTTTAAAAGCATATTCAGATAAGTCAGACATAAAAGGACAAATACTGTATGATCCCAGTTGTTTGAAGTGCCGAAGAAAAAAACTCACTGCCATTGAGTCGATTCTGACTCACAGTGACCCCCGTTGGGTTTCCAAGGTGGTAAATCTTTATGGAAATAGATTGCCCCATCTTCCTTCCATGGAGTGGCTGGTGGAATTGAACCACTAACCTTCTGGTTAGCAGTCAAATGCCTGAGGCACTGAGCCACCAGAGCTCCTAATGAAGTGTCTAGGATAGGCAAATACATAGAGACCATAGTTTAGGAGTGGTAACCGGTGGGGGTAAACCAAAAAACCACACTCCCTGCCGTCAAGTTGATTCACCTCACAGCAACCCCTCCTTCAGTTTCTGAGGCGGTATCTCTATGGAAGTAGATTGCCCAGTCTTCCTTCTGAGGAGTGGCTGGTGGATTTGAACCACCAGCCTTCTGGTTAGCAGAGCTCCTAATGAAGTGTTTAGAATAGGGAAATACATAGAGACCATAGTTTATGAGTGGTTACCAGAGACGGATGGAAGGGGGAAATAGAAAGGTATTGCTTAAGGTGTAGTGTGTTTCTGTTAAAGGATGCTGAAAAAATTTGGAAATGGATAGTGGTAATTGTTTGCAAAACATGATGAACATAATTAATGTTACTGAATTGCACATGTGAAAATGGTTGAGAGGGCAATTGTTTTGTTACATATATTTCACTACAATTCTTTTTAAAAAAGCATATTCAGATGTGTTTAAGAAAACATATGCACATTAAAAACTGGTAAATTGGGAATGAGTTTTTGTAACCCAAAAGGATTTCCTATAAAAGTCCATTAAAAAATCTATGTAAAAATTTGATTTAGAGGATAGTTTCTAGGAGATCTAGACTCTTGAGTGGGTTTCATGGTGTTCTCACTTGTCTTTTTCTGAGTATTTAATCATATGAGTAGGGGGAGTGTAAAACTAGTTGCTGTGCATCAGCTCCAACCCATCGGTGACTCCATGGGTGTTTGAGTAGAATTCTCCACAGGGGTTTTTGGTGGCTGATTTTTCAGAAGCAGATCACCAGCACTTTCTTCTGAGGTACCTCTGGATGGAATCTCCAACCTTTTAGTTAGCTGAGCGTGTTAACTGTTTGCACCATCCAGGGATGGTATACGGCGGCTTCTTAGGTTGGCTGCTCTGACACCTGAGGTGTTGGGTGATGTCCACAAGGGGTTGTCTTGCAGTGTTGTTTACTATCACAGGATGGGTAATGTTTTGGTTCTCTAGTGCTGCTATAACAGATATACCACAGATATATGACTTTAACAAACAGGAATTTGTTCTCTTACAATTGAGGAGGCTATAAGTCTGAGTTCAGAGTGCCAGCTCTAGGGGCTGGGTGAAAGCCTCTCGACCTTGGGCTTCAGTTCAGCCTCTTGCTGCTGGCCCACTGAAGCTGGAGGCTTCTCCTAACTCAGGCAGCTGCTGGCTGCCGAGGCTGACAAACCCAAGGTCAACAAGATGAATGACATGGTCCCAAGATTATCAAGCAACACGGCAGGCCACTAGTTCAAGTCTAGAAACACTCCCGAGTTTGGCAGGCAACATGGCAGGCTGCTGAATGGAAGACTCAGTTAAATGCAGGGTCCAAGGGTGCCAAAAAGCTCAGAGACCTTTCTCAAAGCTGCTGCTTATATACTGGAAGCAGACCACATCCCTAAGACAGCTACTCAGCTGCTCAGAGCAGATTCTACCATGGAGTTGATTACCAGTCTCATCATAAGGAATCACTACATCCAACTGCCCAGATATGCAGTCACTATAATTCCTCTTTGGTTCCTACACCTTCCATGACCTTTAGTGATAGTTGCTAATAGAACTGAATGAGGAAACATGTACTACTAGGTGTGGTTTATGTTAGGAGCTTAGAGGTAGTTCTTTCTGTTTTTATCTTTTTTCCCCCTTTGTCATTAATTTTAGAACAGCTTAAAGTGAGTAGGAATGTTTTTGTTACTTTTATATTTTAATATATCTGATCATTGGCAAGATTTGATCTCTTAACACAATTTAGCATACTTTTTGGCCTTGTCTGTGGAACAGTGGAAGGGATGCTGCTCAGGGTTTTTAATACAGCTGTTACTGATTATTTTGACTTTGGGCCTTAGTTCACTGCAAGGCAGTGAAGGGTCTGGGAAGTGGAGAGCTTTGGGTCTCTTGCAGCTGAAAAATTTTTGTGTGTAAAGGTTTGTCGTTGTATGGTGGTATTTGGGTAATCCCAGGCTTGTTCTCTGGCCTGCAGAAAGCTTAGTTCATGTGCCATTAGGTTACATGCATGCTCTGAACCTTTCATCTGGGTCTGAGTTTATAGTCCCCACCTGTCAGTCTCAAAGGGGAGCAGACAAGAACATGCAAGTGACTTGACACAACCTGTCAGTGCTACTGTAAAGATGGCCCAAGAACAGCCTTTCAGCAAGATCTGTGAAGGGCAACAAGTGATTAGACCTGACCCAGCTGGAAAGCCCTCAAGGAAGTTGTCCAAAGAGGATATTTTCCATTCCAAGAAGATAAGAACTCCTGTGAGGTTTGTTCATTTCCTCTTTTACTCAGATGAACTGATTGCCTATGAATTAACGAGAAGGGAAGCTGAAGCAAACAGAAGACCCCTGCCTGAATTGGTTCGTGCCAAGGTACCATTTAGTGCCTGCCTTCAGGCATTTTCGGAACCAGATAATGTGGATGATTTCTGGAGCAGTGCCCTACAAGCAAAGTCTGCGGGTGTGAAGTAAGTGTGTGTGTGTGTGTGTGTGTGTTTGTGTGTGTGTGTTTAACCAAACATACTTACTGGTGCAACTGCTTGTATGGTGGTAATGGGGAGGGAGAATGGGAGCTTGAGAGATGGTGATTGGGGCGCTTATTCTATGTGTCTACACATGCCTGCCTGCTTGTGTATGGTAGGTTGGAATTGTGACTCAGCACAACCTTAGTTGTCACTCATCTCAACAGTGTGAAACCTGTCCAGTGAAACAGTTAGGCTTATCATCTATATTATGTGCTAGGGAAGGAATACCATTTTTTTTTTTTAATGCAAAGTTATGTTTTATCTTCTATAAGGAATTTATCTTTTTTTTTTTTTTTGCCGAGAGTACAGCCAAGAAACATCCCTGAAAATGGCAAGAGTAATAATGAAAAAAATTACAAAAACACTTATGACAGTCTTCATTGTTTAAACTCCATTGTGATATATTTTAATTCTATAATATATTTAAGTTAAAGATTTGATTTAGACCTTGGTTGACTGTGTTTCTACCTGGAGACCAGGGTTTTGGAGGCATTGCCACGTGGACATGGGCTCAGACGAGCTGTTGAGGATTAGTCAGGGGGTGTCTTATTTCCACATCGTAGGGCTAATCATCAGGTGCATAAAAATGTTTTTGATACCTGAAGTTATTTAATACAGGCAGGACCTTGCCAGAACGGTTCATCTAGCTGCACTTACCTAGAAAAAGAGTGCTTATGGTGGCTTAAAAGGAAGTGAGGTCTCAAAGTATGGTTCTGGGAATTTTACTATTTTTAGCTAGTCTTTGGCCATTTTTCTTATAGGCTAAGATTGAGCTCTCAGTTGATATTAAAGATGTGAGGATGAAAGAGCTACTGCTGGCTCTTTGTATTGCAACCTCAAGTAGCAGTCAAATTGAAACCATTTTTTCTCTGTGGAATCCTTTAGGGTTCCTCCTTGTTTCAGATTGCAGACTTCATATGTTAAAAGTGGGAAAACAAAATCAATTTATTTCAAAAGCTGAAAGAAAAGCATATTTTCTTAAAATAATAATAATAGAAATTTTCTCCCTGTCCAGATGTGGCTTAATAATAGTTACTCAGTTATCAGTTGTCCGTTGTTGGTTAAGTTTTCATCTGGGACTTCTCAGTTGTGTGTGTATGTCCTAGTAGTTGACACCTGGTGAGTGGGCATGGTAAATGGGAGAGATACACTTGACTGTGACTTGGAGACATCTTTGGGCAGTTAAAATTCTACACACATCATTCATAGTGGGAGTAATTTCTCTAATCATTGCCAGTGGCTTAGAGATTCCTCAGACATTTATTCTTTTCTCTTTGTGCTTTAATCCTGAATTTGGGAGGTGAAAAGGGAACCTGGCAGCCTGTTGATCCCCCAACATCAGTGTGTGAGTGTTCTTCATGTATCTGTCCTTTGAAAACCATTTTTGCTCTTCTGAAAATTGTCTTTTGGGTCTTAGAAGTGCAGGGTGTGATATGCTCTCTGGGCCTGCATCTCCCCATTTGTGCCCTGCCAGGAATGTGGCTTCTCACCATTTGGAAAAGGCCCATCTTTAAAGTGGAGCTGGGGTTCATTAGCTTTCCACAGGCAGGTTCTCTGACCCTTGGGTTAGTGGTCAAGAGAGCTGGATTCTTCTCATATGTCCACTTCCAGCTTGTGTTCTGTCCCTGGGCAAAGCCACCTACCAATGTTCTTCTTTCATCTGTAATGGAGGAGTGATACTTGCTGACCTGATTCTCTGCTCAAATGATGCTAAGTGGTTAGTTGTATGCAGTCTGGTAATGATCTCGACTCCCTGAAGAGGGGTCCTGTTTCTTTAGTCCTTAAAAGTAGACATTAGAAGTGTTTTTTGTTTGTTGTCTTTTACACACACACATTCTTGCACAGAGAAAACTAGTTTTAGGTATATGTAAAAAGTTAATATTGGATGTATCACAATTGTTAATCATTGAAAACCAGGCTTTGTGGGAAAGAAAATGACAATGTTAATGATAATAAAGTTGCTACCAGTTACGGCACATTTATTATTGCCAGGTCATATGTTAAGCACTTCCCATCAGTGATCATATTTAATTCTCTTAGTACTATGAGGTTATTGCTCTTGGGAGTGATGGTTACTGTTGTGCTGATTCTGATTTGTGGCTGCTCTATGTGTGCAGAGTAGAATGACTCCGTAGGGTTTTGAAAGCTGTAACCTTTTTGAAGCAGATCAGCTCTTCTTTCTTCTGAGGTGCCTCAGGGAGGGTTTGAACTGCCGACCTTTTGACTAATGGTCAAGTGCTTAACAGTTGGTGCCATCCAGGGTAGGGACTGTTGTTACCCAGTTTTATAGATGAGGAAATAAAGGCTTAAGGAGGAGTGATTGGCCAGAAGTGGCAGACTTGGGATTCATTCAGATCTGATTAAGTTAAAAATCTAAGCACTTAATTGCTGTTATATAGGACCCCCATAGTCTTTATTATGCTTGTTTATATTATTTCTGATGTTAGTTTTAAGGAAACCATTTTAGTTGATACCTAAAAGATCTCTCTCTCTCTCTCTCTCTCTCTCTCTTTAATTTCCAGTAATATAGGCTATAACTCAGACATAATCTCCTTATTATGCTAAGCTGGGACCTGGAACTTTTCTTATATCAGATCCAGAGCCTGAACGATTAGGAAGAGGTAAAAGGTGTTGTAAAGATTTAGGTAGATCTTGGATCAGTGTGGACCAGATATAAAGACTCTTACTTAAATGGTCCTGAATAGAGTGATTCTGGGAGGACTGTTAGTGTGTGGAAAGTTCATTATCCCTGCAAATATTATCACACTTAGTGTAGTCTAGGGCCATGAGTTGAACAAGACCTAATTCCTGCCCTTAGGCGGCTTGCAGTTTAGTGGTTGATATGGAGAGAGTTTTACTTGACCTTTATCATTCAAGAGAGGAAAACACGGTGTGTAGTTCTAGAGCAGAGGCTCTAAGGAATGGGGCAGCACTGAGTCCCATCTAGAGCTTACTGGTAGCACTTCACTTTTCTAAGCCCTTGTTCCCTTATCTGTAAACTAGAGACAGTGTACTTCCTTCCTAGGGTTGAGATGAGGATTAAGCAAGAGAAGCCATGTAAAATGCTTCTTGGAGTGCCTATTATTGGTAGGGGCCATAGAGTTGGTTCCAGTTCAAAGTGACTCTGTGTACAATAGACCAAACCACTGCCCAGTCCTGTGCCATCCTCACATTTGTTGCCATGCTTGAACCCCTCATTGCAGCCACTGGGTCAGTTCATCTTGTTGAGGGTCTTCCCCTCTTTCACTGACCCTCTTCTTTACTTAGCATGATATCCTTCTCCAGGGAATGGTTCCTTCCGGCAGCATGACCGAGGTGTAAGAGATGGAGTCTGACCATTCTTGCTTCTAAGGAGCATTCTGATACTTCCTTCAAGACAGATTAGTTTATTCTTCCAACAGCCCATTCAGTATTTTTCACAAATACCACAATTCAGATACATCAACTGAGTATAAATAAATAAATGTTGGAGCTATTTTTACTGTTACCTTTATTCATCCTTTTATTTATTTATTCATTCATTCATGCATGCATGCACGCATGCATGCCAAGAATTATACAGTTTGAGTGTGGGGTTAATTGATTATATTTTTGACATATTAATGAAAAGAATAGAATGATATTTATTTTATTCTATTTTTTTAGTTACCAGGTTTTTAGTATGGTGGACAATAATTGCAGGAAGGGAGACAGCTGGTTTATTTATTGTTTTCTTAATAAGGGCTTTGTAGTTAATTACTGAACAGTTGATACATTTTAAATAATGATAATAGGTTGTCAATATGGTGTGTGACAGCACAATAGTGTTGTCATTTGCTATTCTGAGCACTTCATATGCCTTAACTTACTCATTTCTCTTAACAACTCTTTGATGGTGGTACTCTTACTGTCCTCACTTTATAGAGGAAGAAACTGAGGCAAGATAAGTATATCAACTTGCCCAGGCTCATATAACTGATAAGAGGTAAAGCTGGGTTTTGAATCTAGGCAGATTGGCTCCAAAAGCCCATCCTCTTACCCACTGTACTGTCTTGTCACTGTATAGGTTTATCTGGGCTTAATAATGATGAAATTATGATATATTAATAAATTCTAATTATATCATATAGGAGCTCTGGTAGCATAGTGCCTAAGGCACTTGACTGCTAACCAGAAGGCTGGCGGTTCAAACCCACCAGCCCTCGGAAGGAAGGTTGGGCAATCTTCCGTAGTGATACTGCCTCGGAAACCCAAGGAGGGGTCGCTATGAGTCGGGGCCGACTCGACGGCAAATAACAACAACAACAATAGTTCAAAAAATCCTTTAATTTTAAACATGTAAGTTGCACATGAATTCCCTCTTATTATAAAAAATAGAAAGAAAATAAAAGTTTTCCTTTGCACACTCCGCCAGTCCCTCTCTCCTCCCTTGGGTGACTACTCCTGTAAATTTGCTGTGTGTCCATCTAGACCTTTTTGAATGGGTTTACATTCTGATGGTCCTTAAGCTCCAGTGGCACAGTGATTAAAACATTCGGCTGCTAACCAGAAAGTTGGCATTTCAAACTCACCAGTTGCTCCATGGGAGAAAGATGAGGCAGTCTGCTTCCGTGAAGATTTACAGCCTTAGAAACCAGATGAGGCAGTTTTACTGTGTCCTGTAGGATTGCTATGAGTTCGAATTGACTCAGTGGCAGTGGGCTTGGTTTTTGGCTTGGTCCTAACTAAAATTCTGTAGCTTTTCAAGAAAAATTTTAAATCCAGGCATTAATTTTAGTAACAAAAGAGTCAGTAGTGCATAACTTATAACTTTGTTGGACTTAACCAACAAACTCAATATTCCAAAGCAGCAATGAATGAATTTGAAGTATTAATTTTGAGAATGATTTGAATAAATGTATATTTAGCAGTTACTACATGGATAATTCAATTTGAGACCCTGTAGAGGTTACAAGGTAAAGAGTGCTGGGCCAAAGTGGACATCATGTAATCTGCTGTCTGTAAGGTTAGTAAGTTACCCCTTAACAGGGTGGTATGTTAACTTGCTGTTATTTCGACCTCTACTACCCCCACTCCATGGTATTAAGAGCTAATGCCTTACTCAGCTGCTCACCACAGAGCAACTAGAAATGTCTTAGGGCTCCTGAGTCACATTTTGGAAATCACTGATGTACTGCTGAATTTTGGTTGAGTTCACTATCATGTATTTTTTTTTGGATTTTAAGTTAATGTGGTAAGAGAAACCCCTGACATAACATTTTCACATAAGTTGAAAATATAATATCAGATGCAATTTGTTGGTAGTACTAAAGAAAGATAGAAACAAGAAACTGAATTACTTTTTTTTTTTTTTTTTTAATTTTTCCTTTGTTTTTTGGTGAAATTGAGGTCCTGGCTCCATGTAAATAAGATTTAAGGTGATATTTTTTATCACTTCTTGGAATACAAGAAAACTTAATTAGATATATAATTTCTGGAGAGTGAGCCAGGATAATAATAGATCAGTTCCTTAGGTTGATAAAGGTCCTATGCTCTGAAGAGCTCCTTTGCGTTATTGTCTATACCCTTCTACCATCCTTGTGATGGGGACTTTGACATACAGACAGATTGAGTGACCTGCCTGGATTGGGCGAGAGGGGCAATGCAGATCAAGCCAGTGCCCAACACTTCATAGATTTTAGCTCTTTCATGACAAAATAATCATGATAATCCCTTAGCTACACATACTACTTTCTAGTCAGGCCACATCATTTCATGAACATTGCACAGCGCTGGCCGGCAGACATTATTAATAAATGATGTTATGATGTGAACATGGAGCCACAGGGAGGGTCAGTGATTTGCATAGATTTGGAGTGAATTAAGTACCATATCGAAGATCCAAAGCCAAGTCTTGACTCTCAGATCTTGTACTCTATCCCGGTATTATAGCTCCTGTTCTACACTAGGGGGCAGAAGTTCATTTGCATTTGTTTTCTGAATTGTGGACAATGCATGTGGAATAGGAGGTAATGACTTAGATATGAAAAGTGAGGTGTCTGGAGAGGATGTTCCAGAATCTTTTCTTTTAAAATGTACTGTATTGCCTGCCCACAGATCATTTTTCAAAATACATACACCTAGCATGCCTGCATTGATACTCAAATAGAAATGATTGTTAAAAATAAGATGATACATTCTTCATGTTTGAATGAGCTGGCATGAGGCACAAATTTAGTGTAGAAGTTGAATAGCTGTGCATATGTACAATTCAGCTTTTCTGAAAAGATTGAAGGGAAACTCAAGACATTGGCTGTATGTATTAATTTTAAAATTTAAGGCCCAGAATTAGATATTTTAGGCACTTATTTACTGCACTTGAAAGAGCTTTGGTGGTGCAGTGGTTAAAGCATTTGGCTGCTTACCAGAAGGTCAGAGGTTCAGACACACCCATCACTCCATGGGAGAAAGATGTGGCAGTTTGCTTCTGTAAAGATTTACAGCCTTGGTAACCCTATGAGGCAGTTCTACTCTGTCCTGCAGAGTGGCTGTGAGTCGGAGCTGACTCGATGGCAGGAGTTTTGTTTGGTTTACTGCACTTAAAATATATCTGTGCCTAGGATCCAAGTGACCATGGATTTAGATACAGTGGTGTTTTAATGAGGCCCTGGCATTTTAAATACTCCACCTCAATCAAAGTTCCAGTGTAAACCCTCCTTATCCCAGCTTTGCTTCAGATAGTGATTCTCAGTGGAGTGGAGGTGAGGTTGTGTTAGGATCATTTGGAAGCTTTTTCATACAAACACATAATGCATACATGCCTGTACACAACTGAAAACATAAGGATACAAAAATCTAGCAAGGATTTTAGAAAAACACATTGAAAAAGACTTTTCTAAAATATGAAATGCCATAGCAAAGTAAAGTAAGGACTTTGAAATAGACCCATATCATTCTCATGGGACAGCGTTCTCCTATGGTAAACATTTTAATTTTGTGGAAAAGGTCAGGAAGAATGAGTAGGGGTGAGTGTGTGTGTGTGTGTGTATGTATGTGTGCATGCATTTATATGCCTCTGTGCATTCCTTCTCTTCAGTCAAGCCGTTGGTACTGCCAGGTATGCCTCAGACAGAGCTGATGATGCTTTATGAACTGTATTCACAATTCTTACTGCCTTGTTTCATTGATACAATCCCCTTGTGTTTCCCAGAACATCTCGCTTTGCCTCATTCCCTGAATACTTGGTAGTGCAGATAAAGAAGTTCACTTTTGGTCTTGACTGGGTTCCCAAAAAATTTGGTAGGTATCTTTTGCATGCTTTTGCTTAAAACATCAAATTAGCCATTTTGAAAACACGGCATGTGAAAGAGCCCATGTGGTTGGCTGCCAAAAGCAGTTCCATTTCATTCTTATTTTTTTTTTTTTTAACCATTATTTCTTCCTGTCTCTCATGCAATCAGAGTACACAGTAAGCATCAATAGTAAAAACTACCACATACTAATCCTTTCTCTCCTAATAATGGGTTCTGGAATGACTGGATTCCAGGAGTGAAACAAGATCTTCACATTATCAAATAAGCAATGCTTCCCAAACTTTAATGTGCATACAAATTACCTGGAGTCCTGGTAAAATGCAGATGCTGATCCAGCAGGTGTGGGAAGGGGAGTGGGCTGAGGTTCTGCATTCTTACAAGCTCTGAGGTGATGCTCCTGCTGCTTGTCCCAGGACCACACTTTAAGTAGCAAGCAGTTAAATATATAGGCAGTCCCTGGGTTATGAACATCCAATTTATAAACAACTCTTACTTGCCCTGTGAAATGATTGGACCAACATCTAACCCCAAAACAAACCCACTGCCCTCAAGTCAATTCTTATAGCAGACCTTTAGGATAGGATAGAATTGCCCTATAGGGTTTCCAAGGCTGTAAATCTTTACAGAAGCAGACTGCCACATCGTTGTCCCACAGAACAGCTGGTGGGTTCGAACCACTGACCTTTTGGTTAGTAGCTGAGCACTTAACTACTGTGCCACCAGGGCTATTTGAATCAACCACTAGTTGGCCACAGATTCTTCCTCATAATCTTCACTTGCTGCATGTGCAGCTTTTCAATGATTGACAAGGGTTTAGAACCTTTTCTTGCACTAAAGTAAAGCTAAATAAGAACTGTATGCACCTGTTCCATTTGCTTAAAGGCATATTTAGGCACAGATCTCATTCCTAACCTGAGGACTGCCTCCACTTAGCATCTCTCTGTCTCTGAAATAGGCAGGTGTGACTAATGATGTTCACTTAAATCATAACAAATGTTATTAATAAAATGAGTACAGTCAGTTTTATTAAAAAGTCAGGAGAAGGATATAATTTTGGTTTAATTGGACTTCTTTCTTGCTAATTTTGAAGGTCCTTGATCGTTATTGGAGGTTAATTTCCCAGATAATGCATGAGAATGTTTTCTCTATCATGGCGATCTAATATGAAATATGTTATTAGTTGCCACAGTGGTGTAGAAGGGTGTGCACTTTTACTGTCTATGGTTTCTTAAGCAACTCCTTCAGACTTTGCACATCTTGTAAAGTTTTTATGTTTTTGATCGCTTAAAATCTCAGGTCTGCACTGATTAAGTACTCAACTGAAGGGGATAGGTAAACAGAATGTAAAGTCTAAAATCAGCACGAGTCATTTTCCAGAAATCTCCACACTAACAATGTACATAGCATGTCCTGGCCATCTAAAATTGTGCTGGGCTGTTACTGACTCTACTTACTTTTCCTGGTGGATAGTTTTGTGGGTGGGAAGGGTGGAAAGTTAAGATCACTTAACTTTCTTCGGTGGATTTGAGACATACCTGGGAGGGAAAACGGACTTATTCTGAAAGCTTTGAATTGCTTTGCAAACAGTTTTCTTACTTATTTTTTGTCCTTGGAATTTCTGTAAAAGAACTAAAATTTGAATTAGATTCTATTGACTTGCCAAATTTAAAGGACTCCCAAAACTTTCTTTAATGAAATTGACTTTTTCTCTTGAAGAATAATTGCAGTGATTTTGTTGGTCAGATAATTATTTTTGTTTTTGCTGCTCATTGAGAAATTTTTTTTAAACCAATCTTTGTTGTTTGAGTGGTGGTTTTAAAATAGCATTCATATACCTGGCATCAGAACTGGTTAGGAATGGTATGTTCACGTTCTGTTTGCTAGCCCAAAAGACATATCCTGGACTCATATTTGAACCCATTTTTTTCACCATTATCATAACTGAATATGTACAGTACTAAATCTCGACTGGCTGTTTGATACATTTTCTATTTGCTGAGAAGTAAACAAAACAAACAAAAAACTCCAAGACTAAGACACTTCGGATTCGATTAACAATTTCTTTAAAACTCATTCTTCATTTATTGACTTAGAAGAATCACAGGACCCATCATGATTTTAGAAAAGACTTAAACTTGGGGTTGCATATTCAAATGTCTCAAAAAAAAAATAAGTGATAATATTAAGGAAAGAAGTGGGCTGCGTAAGAAACATGTCATTTACTTGGTCCTTCTTAGATATTCCCACTTTGGATAAAGACCCTGGAAAAACTTTTCTGTATGATAAGGATCAAACTGGGACAAATATGATGCTCAGGATCATGGGGGCAATAGGGAGTGGTGGGGCCTGTGTCAGAAAGTCACAGAGAATGTTCATTGTCTAGAGTGGAAGATCAGCTCCAGACATCTGTTATCATCTGAGAATGTGCTACAGATCTGTGTTTTTCCAAATAAGCTGAAAATCAAAATTTTAAAAATTAAATACTCTCATTTTAAAATTGGAATTTATCGGCAACATAAAAAAAAAAAAAAAAAAAACAGAATATGTCTGGCCACAGTCTATGGGCTGACAGTTTGTGATCTCTGGCTTAACCTGTTTGTTCTTGCCACCTTGTATACTTTATCTAGGTTCTCCGTTAAAATCTAGTCAGCCATGATGGATTTGCTGGGCCAGTGATCTATTCCAGACAACTGAAAAACATCCCTCAGCTCCACTGAGACCCATGCATGTAGAATTAGTGGTGCTGGTTTTATAATAAGGCAATTCTGGGTTTTTGAGAGTCCAGTGACATGATCTCTCTCATTTTGCAGACGTTTCTGTTGATATGCCAGACCTGCTTGATATCAACCATCTTCGAGCCAGGGGGTTACAGCCAGGAGAGGAGGAACTTCCAGACATTAGTCCCCCTATAGTCATTCCTGATGACTCAAAAGGTACCATCTCCTGCCAGGAGGATGTCCCCTCCCCTCCCAATTTTCTTTACTGAAATAGTTTTCTTCCTCTACTCTGTTGCTGCTGCCAGCCATCAGACTTTTCTTGGCCACCTTCTGGTGATATAACCCACCATAACCCATTGCTGTAGAATTGATTCTGACTCATAGTGACCCTATAGGACAGAGTAGAACTGCCCTCATAGGGCTTCTAAGGCTGCAGTCTTTATGGAAGCAGACTGCCACATCTTTCCTCAACTAGAAACTTAAAATAGAAATTGGAAGAGGCACAGACCTATCATGAGTGACTGAAATGGACTTGTGAGAATAACTGGCAACAGATCTCACACTTTCTAGGTTAGGTTGCCTTTTAACACCCTCCAAATGGATTTGTAGGGAAGAGAAGGGCTGTGGTATCATTAGTCTCTTAAACAGTGCAGGGGGAGCTGTGTCATTCCTAGGAGTGCCTCTGGATAACCAAAAAGGGAAATTCAAGAGTGTATGTTGTTTTAAAATTTTCCAACACATCTCACCTCCCCAGCTTTGTCTTTGCTTCATAGCAAGGGAGCGGTTTGAATTTCTCTTTCACTCTATGAATGCTAACTTGGCTATTGTTCAGGATACTTAACTTTTTAAGGGAAAAGGACACACAAGAAGTAGTTGTCCTCACTTATGTGGGCTCAAGGACCACCCACCCATTGCCTTCGAGTCACTGTCTACTTATAGTGACCGTATAAGGCAGGTTAGAATTGCCCCTCATAGGTTTTCAGGGCTCTAAGTCTTTACAGAAGCAGACTGCCACATCTTTCTCCTGTGGAGTGGCTGGTGGTTTTGAATTGCTGACCTTTTGTTTAGTTGCCAAGTGCTTTAACCACTGTGCCTTCAGGGCTTTGTGGATTTAAGGACAATGTCAGAAAAATCTTGGTTTAATAACTAACTAGCTCAGTTATTCTGATGAAATCAATTTCATTTATGGCTTAGTTTACTCATCTGTTTACTGTTCATCTTCCTAATGAGTTAATTAAGAGCCCTGGTGGTATAGTGCCTAAGGCATTTGACTGCTAACTAGAAGGTTGGCAGTCCAAACCCACTAGCCCCTCCTCGGAAGGAAGGTTGGGCAATCTACATCCATAGTGATACTGCCTTGGAAACCCAAGGAGGGGCCTCTGTGAATCGGATCTGACTGGACAGCCATGCATGTGTTTTGTCATAATGAGTTAATTAGGTAAATTAGCCAATAATGATAGAGCACTTTGGGCCCTTCTACAAAAGATTTTGGGAGCTCTGGTGGTGCAGTGCCTAAGGCATTTGACTGCTAACCAGAAGCCTGATGGCTCAAACTCACCAGACACTACTCTGAAGGAAGACTGGACAATCTACTTCCGTAGAGATACCTCCTTGGAAATCCCAAGGAAGGGTTGCTATGAGTCAGAATCGAGTGGATGGCAGTGAGGTGTTTTGTTTTTTTTTAAAAACCAAAGATTTTCCATCAGTTGAGCACAGATGACTATGATGACTGTATCCAGGTACAAAAGAAGGGTAGGAAGAGTCCAAAGGAGCAAGATAGGATTAAAGACAGGCATGCATATTGCATTCTTTAAGTCAAATGCTTAACTGTGGGGTACAGGTAGTAGGGAAGAGGCCTGTACTTGAGTCATTCTGGGTTTTGTAGTACAGGTGGTTCATGAAAGTGGTTAGAGAAAGATGAGCATCAGAGAACTACCAGGTGCTTTACTAATACTGTTCCTACTCTCTCTTCAATGTCCATTACAGAATCTTTGGTTTGTAATTATACAAACTTCTTGGAAATACAAAGGGAGAAGTATTTGGTTCATTAATATGACAACCTGAACATCGTATTATACCTGACCTAAATGCCTGAAACTTGTTAATTTCCATCATTACTGTAATGCCTTTATGTTGTGCTGCCTGGGGTGTCTGTGTAGGGGGTTAAGGGTTGAAAACAGCATGGAGTTCCAAGTGGTGTGGGAATTTGGGAATGCCCTGGACCAACTGTTTCTTTTCCTAAAACTCTTTGGCATGGTTTGGTCTCATTTCCTGCACTCTTTCTTAATTTCCAGATCGTCTGATGAACCAATTGATAGACCGTATGTATCTTTTAATTTTTTTCTCAGTGTCCTACTGTTGTGAATTGATCTGACTCATTTGTCTGTGGGCATTCAATAAACAGACATTTCTCTGTACTTGTGTATGTGCAGCTTTTCCCAAGTGGGAACAGTTCTTTGCTTGCAAGATGAGTTAGCAGTAAAGATCAATTAGGGACATGTGATGTATGTAGCCCTGTGGTCACGAGAATGGCCATTAGCATGAGAATCAACCAGCCCTGTGTTGGAACCCAGGCTCTGCCACTTATAACTGTTCTTCAGTTCTTTTACTGATTGCCATCTGTCAGGGAAGGGAATTTTCAGTAGATTACAGACCTTATGACACGCAAAATATAAAGGATGTATTTTGGGCTCCTGTGTTTTCTCGCCTTTGGTACAATTTGAGAGCAGTGTATGTGTGTTGATATAAGCTTATACATATGTACACACAAACATACGTATATACACACACACATCCATCTATATCAATTTGAATATATCATTAAGAAAAGAAGACGAAATCCTCTTTGTCTGAAACTGAATTAGGTTTGTAAAACTTTTATTATCTTTTCTATAATGTATACGAAAACCAAACCAAACTCACTGCCATCGAGTTGGATCTGACTCATAGTCAAACCTCCTTGGGTTTCCGAGGCGGTATCACTAGGGAAGTAGATTGCCCAATCTTCCTTCCGAGGAGTGGCTGGTGGATTTGAACCGCCAGCCTCCTGGTTACCAGTCAAATGCCTTAGGCCACCAGAGCTCCTCTATAATGTATACAATTGAAAAAACACAATCTCCTCTTCTGTACTTAACATTTGGGTTCTGTTTGCCATAGCTGATTCCTTTTTCTAATAATACTGGCTGTATCTAAAGGCCTTCTGTAACTTTCTGTGACATTTAAGGAACAGGTATTTTTGACTTATAGATAATGCTTCTATCTTTACATTTTAGTCATAGGAGAAGGCTGCTGCAGCGGCCTTGAGAATGATCTGGGAGCTTGAAGTGGTTTTGGAATACACTAGATGTCCCCATATGAAATTAGGCATTATCTTTTTAGTGCTTGGAAGCTTAGGTGATTACCATGGTTTCTCTATTTAGGTCAAAGACACAAGCTCAGCTCAAATAGCTTAATATTTGGATGGCTTAAAGTGAAACAAAAAGAAGTATCACTGCCCACACGCCCAATAAAATGCCACCTTTTTTGGGGTAGCATGTGGATAAAAGGGGGTAAAGAAAAGCTAACACCAGGAGAAATAGTTTATTTTTATACCAGAATATCCTGTTGTGCTCCACAGCGTCAGACATTGATGAGTCATCAGTGATGCAGCTAGCTGAGATGGGTTTCCCTCTAGAAGCATGTCGGAAGGCCGTGTACTTTACTGGAAATATGGGAGCCGAGGTGGCCTTCAACTGGATCATTGTTCACATGGAAGAGCCAGGTAGGTGGTTGGAAAATGGCAAATGGCTTAGGACTCTGAGTGATCTTCAGCGCTGCTAAGTCTTGGTCTTACCATATCCCCTGTGGCAGGACCAAGAAAATGACTTTCTAGTTCATAATCTGCTATAGTTGAAGACTTTGCCACCATAGCCAACTGAACTCGTAACTTTTATCTTTCTTCTTCTCTTTTAACAACAGCTTTATTGAGACACCATTCACCTTTTTAAAACATACAATTTAGTGGTTTTTATTGTATTCAGAGTTGTGTACCTATTACTACTATCTAACTTTATAATGTTTTTATCCATTCAAAGAAGAAACCTCGACCTATCAATTTCCCATTCCTTCCTCCTCTAGCCCCTGGCAAATACTAGTCTACTTTCTATCTCTATTGAATTGCCTGTTTTGGACATTGCATACAAATGGGATCATGCAGTATATGGCCTCTTTTATCTGGCTTCTTTCACTTAGCGTGATGTTTTCAGGTTTCATCCATGTTGTATCGTGTATCAGACTTCATTCCTTCCTATTTCTAAATAATATTTCATTGTATGACTATTCCATATTTTGTTATCCATTCTTCAGTTGGACAAGTTGGTGGACACTTGGGTTCTGTCTACTTTTTGGCTATGATGAATAAATGCTGTTGTGTAGACATATCTTTTCATTTCTTTTGGGCATGGAGTGATAGAGATTAGCGTGACTCTGAGCTCCAGAATGTGGGGATTATTTCACTCTCACATTCCTACTTCTCCATCATCATCACCACCTGCCCCTGTGACTCTCTCTCTCTCTCTCTCTCTCTCTCTCTGACTCTAGCCACCCAGAGCTAGATTAGTACTCACAAGTTAGAAGGAGACCATTCTTCGAACTGCCAAATAGACAAATGTCAACTGCAAATTTTGGGAGTCTACATGACACTCAGTCTTCTGACTCTCTGGCCACAAATTCAGGGCTGGTTTCCTAATTTCCCATCAGGATACTACAAACTTGGGACCCTTACTTTCTCACCTTCTGGTTTCAGCTGCCCCTTTGGGTTAGAAAATTTGCTAGAATAACTCTCAGAATTCACAGAGAGTATGCCGTAATTAACTACTACAGATTTATTATGGCTAAAAAGGATACAAATGAAGAGAAGCATAGGACATAGTCTGAGAGAGTTCCTAACCCAGAGCTTCCATGTCCCCAGGGATGTTGTACCCTCCTGAGAGCAGATGATCTCACCAACCAGGAAACTCTCTGAGCTTCTGCATTTAGAGCTATTATCAGCCAGTTCTACATGATAGGCTAAATCATGGCTTCTGAGGCTAGCTGATACCAGCTTCCTAGGTGATTCTTACCTAGTCTAGCTGGTGACAAATTCGCAGGTGTGGCCTGGACGTCACAGACCAAGGTACCCCAGTTACTCCAAGGATTATTTCTGCAGAGCCAAGGATAAAGCCATCTTATTTGGGACAAAATTAGATTCTTTACTCCACAGGTAATACCTGGGAGTGGAGTTGCTGGGTCATACGGTACTTCTGTGTTTAACATTTGAGGAACTGTCACACTGTTTTCCAAAGCAGCTGCACCATTTTACATTCCTACTAGCAATGTGTAAGGATTCCATGTACTTTACATCATCACCAATAATTGTTATTATCTGTTTTTTTTTATTATAATTATCCTAGTGGATGTGAAGTCGTATCACATTGTGATTTTGATTTGCATTTCTCTAATGACTAACGATGTTGATCATCTTTTCATGTGCTTTTGAACCATTTACATATCTTAGTTGGAGAAATGTCTATTCAAGTTTTTTGCCCAGTTTTAATTGCCTTGTTTATCTTTTTATTTTTGTGTTGTATTTTGAAAAAAAACCAAAAAAACAGACTCACTGTCATCGAGTCAATTAGGCTCATAGTGACTCCTCCTTGGGTTTCTGAGGTGGTATCTCTACGGAAGTAGATTGCCCAGTCTTCCTTCCTAGGAATAGCTGGTGGGTTTGAACCTCCAGCCTTCTGGTTAGCAGACTGTGTTGTATAAGTTCTTTATATATTCTGTATAATAGACCCTTATTAGATTTTTGATTTGCAAATTTGTCTTTCATTCTCAGGGTTGCCTATCGCTTTCTTGATAGTATCCTTTGATGAACAAAAGCTTTTAGTTTTGATGAAGTCCAATTTATCTATTTTTCCTTTTGTTTCTTATGTTTTGGTGTCATATTTAAGAAGTTGTTGTCTAATCCAAGGTCACAAATTTTTACTCCTTTGTTTCCTTGTAAGGATTTTAGCTCTTATGCTTAGGACTTTGATCCACATTGTGTTAATTTTTGTACATGGTGTGAAGTAGGGGTCTGAATTTATTCTTCGGCATGTAGATATCTAGTTGTCTCAGCAGTATTTGTTGAAGAGACTATTCTTTCCTCATTGAATGGTCTTTTTTTTTTTTATCAAAAACCAATTGGCCATAAATGGGAGGAAAAAAAAAAAAACCCAAAACACCCAAACCCACTACCATTGAGTCAATTCTGACTCATAGTGACCCTGCTGGACAGAGTAGAATTGCCCCATAGAGTTTCCAAGGCTACAAATCTTTATGAAAGCAGACTACCTCATCACCTCATCTTTCTCCCATGGAGCAGCTGATGGGTTCGAACTGCTGACTTTTGGTTTGCAGCCCCATGCTTTAACCACAGTGCCACCAGAGCTCCTTTAATTGGGCATAGTGTGAGTTTCTTTCTGGACTTTGAATTGTATTCCAGTGATTCACATGTCTGTCTTTATGCTAGTGCTAGATTGTCTTGATTATTGTAACCTTGAATATGTCCTTCCTTCTAAGTGCTAAAGTGTTGCACATTCAAGACCAAACAGAAAAATGCTTGAGTTTGATCATTTCCTTAGATTTTGCTGAACCGCTAACCCTACCTGGATATGGAGGAGCAGCTTCCTCTGGAGCCTCAGCTTTTGGTGCTACTGGTTTGGATAACCAACCTCCAGAGGAAATTGTCGCCATCATCACCTCCATGGGGTTCCAGCGAAATCAGGCTATTCAGGCGCTCCGAGCAACGGTGAGCATGAGAGAGAACTCTGTGTGTGTGTGTGTGTGTGTGTGCGCACACGCGTGCATGCCTTCTTCTTATTGGAGATAGTTTGTATTTCTAACAGTAGCAATTGAGATTTCACAATGTCCTCTGATCATTTTGAATCCTTTTTGTTTCACTCTGTACCCCACCTTGGCCCACGATGGTTTATCTTCAGATAGTATATAAAAAGCTGAAATAAGTGATTGTGGGAATCGGTACAGAGGATTTTAGAATAGGAAGATAATAGATCTGGGATAAGATGACCAAACTGAAAACCAACCCCTCCATATCATCTTGAATGTTAGTTAACAGGGGGCCCACAAATTTGGCTTTAGGCTTGCTTGCTATGGCTTTAGCGCAAAGAGTGATATGTGAGGTTCAATATTCAATATAGGTCTTTAGGAGAAGTTATGCTTTTCTGATATCAAGAGCTTGATGAAATGCCTCTCATAAGTCCTCATAGAGGGAGAGAGTAGTTGGACCTATGGGCTTGGGATCATAGTTGCAGGGATATCAAGTTCAACTGGCATAATATACTACACAAAACATTGTTTCACATCCTACTTTGGCAAGTAGTGACTGGGATCTTAAAAGCTTGTAAGCAGCAATCTAGATAAAATGATAGGTCTCTCCTCATCCAGAGCAAAGAATAATGAAGAAAACCAAAGATGCATGGAAGCCATTAGTCCTCGTGACTGGTACACCATGAGATCCTCAGCCTTATATGACTATGAGACCAGAAGAACCAAATGGTGCCCAGCTACCACTGGCAACCACTCGGAGAGGGATCTACGTAGGAGATCCTGGATAGAGTGGGAGAACAATGTGGAACAAAACTCAAAATCACTTGGGGAAAAAGAAAAAAAGAGACTAGGTTTGCTGATCTGATAGAGCCTGATGGAACCACTGAGACTATTGACCCTACCTGCCCTCCGGGTCCAGAACTGAACCTACTCCTGTGGTTTCCAGCCAAACAAAAGACAGGCATATGAGGTGAACATTTACACTAGGTAGATACACTCCTGGGAGAGAACAATCATGGGAGAATAGAAGGGCTGTGTATGCACAGGGGGCAGGAGTGCAGGGAGGGAAGGACACAGGGAAGAGTTAACTATGGGAAGGAAGTGGGAGGGGAGCTGTTGCATTGTGGTAAATTGTAGTCAATGTCATGAGACAAAGTGTATGTGAACTGCTGTATGGAAAGTGAATTTGCTTTGTAAACTTTCACCTAAATCACACACATACACGCGTGCACACAAGTCCTCATAAGAATAGCTAGCTCATTGGAATTCCATGTATAGAGAGAAGATTCTTCTAGTCGTTGTTAGCTGCTGTGAAATTGGCTCCTAACTCATTGTGATCCCGTGCACAATGGAACAAAATGCTCTCTGGTCCTGCACCATCACTATCATCAGTTGCAGATCAGACTGTTGTGATCCATAAGGTTTTGCTGGCAGATCTTTGGAAACAGATTGCCAGACCTTTCTTTCTAGTCTTTCTTAGTCTGGAAGTTCCATTGAAACCTGTTCAGCTTGATAGCATCACGTAAGCCTCCACTGACAGAAATCCTGATACTACCAGGAAAGAAGGGACTGTGAAACTGAGGATGGATGATAGAAGCCTTTGTCTTGCAGCATAGATTTATGTTTAGTATTGAGAGAAAGTACTTGTTTTAAAATCCATCCTTTCTTGACACAACCATAATCCATTTTCTGTGTATATCTGCTGCAGATTCCTTGTAGCCTGTTTTTTGAGTTTTACCTGCCAGCTTTCCTTGTTGAGGTCAAAGTGGCTCTTACTTGGCTTGTGGAAAATATGACTGGAGAGATGTTTCCCTTTAAAATGCACAAAATAGCTCAACCAGAGTTTGTTTCAGTCAGGGTTCTTTCTTGGACCCTGCTTACTTTACTTGCTGACTGTTACACTGAAAGTTCTGACTGTGTCTAAATAAATTCTTTAACCCACCAGTGAGCCTACAAACAGGGGAAGACTGAAATGTTTTAATAGTTATTTGGTTTGAATTGCGTGGAGTTCAGTTTCAAAATTACTTAACTAATCAGAGTTGTCATAGTTAATCAAGGCATTAATCTTATCTGTAGTACAACTCATCAACCATTTCACTAACCTTTAGGGAGAGGAGGCTCTCACGTAGTGCTCACATTGGTGACCCACTGTCTTGCATGGTTACTGTAGAAAATACAGTTGGTAGGTAATGTAGTGTGTGCAATTAGTGCGGCTGTGGAAAAGGCTGCGCATAGATGAATGCCAGACCCTTTAGCTTTCTGCATGCCATCATTATCAGCACCAGCTACAGAAGTGCTGAGCTGAGACTGATGTGGGCTTGGGAATGTTGCTCGGCTGCTAGGAACTGTTGCCCAGAGAACCCAATTACAGACCTTGGTTGGGAGACTTACAGAATGCCAGCTGAATGTGCATTGCATCCACAGAGTCAGGGCGTCTTACTCAGAGGCACTCAGGACTAATGAGCTCAGGCCTCCTGCCCTATCTGCTTGACATCGTGGTTCAAATTGTCAGGATATAATGAGGCCTGGGAACTGTGTACATTATAAAAATGTTTCATTTTATTAGAATCATAATCTGGAAAGAGCTCTGGATTGGATCTTCAGTCACCCTGAGTTTGAAGAAGATGGCAACTTTGTGATTGAGATGGAGAATAACGCCAATGCAAACATTATTTCTGAGGCCAAGCCTGAAGGACCTAGAGTCAAGGATGGATCTGGAAGTAAGTTCCTGCCTTAGGGATTGTCTGATCATTCATGATTATGCACTTGGCTCATACCGTTCCTTCCCATCACTACATATTAAAACCTTTACCACTCCTCAGAAGGAAGGTTGGGCAATCTACTTCTGTAGTGATACTGCCTCAGAAACCCAAGGAGGGGTCACTATGAGTCAGGGCTGACTTGATGGCACATAACAACAACAACATTATTCAAAAGTTAGCACAAATCTCATCTCCTCATAGATGGCACAGTCTGCCACTTTGCATAGGCCACTGTGACCTGATAAAGACTTGGGCTAACCAGAGTGATGCTAGCTAGGAGTGTGTGGACTTAAGTACATAGGTTAGCACCAGCTTTGACTCTGTCTGTTCCTTTGTGGTAAAGTTTCTTCGTGGACTATGGAAGTTTTTTTCTAAAAGAGAACATTTATTTTCATAATGGTATTTTTTTTGAACAGTTGAAAAGTAGTCTCACCCTTTGACCCAGTCATTAACAATAACTAGGGCCATTTATTGTTTTAAAACAGATGACAGTTTCCTGAAGTACCACAGGCCAACTTTCTGTCTTTGAATAGCAAACACTTACATATGTCACTGTTTGCCAGGCACTCACTGTTCAGTGCACTTTGCATGTAAACACTCATTTATTCCCATCATAAGCCATGAAGTAAATACTGTTAGTTTCCTTATTTTTATAAGTGAGACTACAGAGGCATAGAGAGCTTAGGTAGTTCGCACAAGGTCACATAGCTCTTAAGAGTTAGAGCCAAGATTCAAATTGAAAATCAGTGTCTTAATCATTGTGAAACCCTGCTTCTCAGGCTGTTTCTGCCTACAGAATAATGTCCAGGTTCTTTCACCCTGTCCTCTTGCATCTCTCTACAGTCAGATCTGAGCCTGCCTTGTCTCTCAGTATTATTGCTCCTGCATCCCTTCATACCTAAAGCCACACCAGCCTACCCCTTTCTCAGTCACTTCTAGGTCTTTGCTGAAATGAATCTCTATTTGTGAAATGCTCCTGTCTTGTATCACAGCACACTAAACCCCTCACCATTATTCAGAACTTAGCCCAGAGCTCATCTACCTGGTAAGCTTTCCTCGATCCTTGTCATGGTTATTCTAACCTTACCTCATATGCTGCTGCTGTTGTTGTTATGTGCCGTCGAGTCGGACCCGACTCATAGCGACCCCTCTTTGGGTTTCTGAGGCAGTATCACTATGGAGGTAGATTGCCCAACCTTCTACCTCATGTGCTAGTAATACCAGTATTACTATTAAATTGTAATAATAAAATGACCAAACTGACCAGGGAAGTTTTAGTCTAAAAGAGAGAGAGAGAGCATTTATTTTCATGATGATTTCTTAAACAGTACTAAACAATAGTACTTGTGTTTTAATCTTCATATATAATCTTCACAATAACTCCGTGAGGAAATAATTCTCACAGTAATAACCAGTACTGTTATTATCCCCATTTTACAGATGAGAAAACTGAGGTAGGGAAAGTTGCTTGTAAGGGTTACATAGCTAGTGATGAGTGGAGCCAGAATTCCAACATAGGCAGTCTGGCTCCAGAGCGTGTGCCCTAGCCACTCTGACATACTGTTTGTTCTGCTGTTATTGCAGTATCAGCACTGGTCTTGCAATGTAACTACTTAGGTAAATATCTGTGTTTCCCACTTGATGGAGAATGTGTGAAGGGCAGAGGCTAGTTTACTTTCATAAAGCTCGTGGTATCTAGCACATAGGCAGTACTAAGTAAATAATAATTTGGTTTTATTTTATTTGAACAGGCAGTATTTTTTCCTGTTACCCTATAGGTGTAGCTCTACTCATTAGTGATCTTACCAAACCTGGCTTGTATATATTGACTATAGCAAGAGAGAAGAGGGTAGGAAGGAGATTTTCTTCTTTTTTATATAAAATTGGAGTTTCTTCCACTGAAACAGTTCTATTCCCAACTGGGTGAAAAAAAAATGAATGTAATTCTCCTAGTGTCCATATTTTTCTAAGTGCTCTTATATTATTATTTATTTTTTTAAAAAAATGCTGAATATTCAAGTTTATAAACAAATAAAAAATGTTTAATTTTCATCAGCTTCAAGGTTTATGTTGCTTCCAAATTTTGCATATAGCTGAACTTACAAATTGGCTAACACCTGTTGAATTGATTCTACCCTGGATTCTAAGGCATCAATCCCTTCTTGCAAATTTCCTTTGCTTCTTCTAACATTTCTTGTGTTTCCTCTTGAGAATGGCTCATGAAAACATCGCCGACTTAAGCATTGGTCATCTGCCAGCATGATGTCATTGCAAACATCTTTGAAATTCTGGAGTTCTTTCTTTTTCATTCCTATTTCTTCTTTTAGCTCTGTGATTCTGCTTGTATCCATGCAAATTTGTGTATCTTTTGTTGGTCTTCAAAAGTAATATTAACATCTTCTGCAGCTGCCTTGTTCATGCTGGCCACCATCTTGGGACTGGACTTCTGAAAATCACTAGCTTGTCTAAAATATTAAAATCTGTAATGGACAAGTTACTCAGTAATTCATGAGTAGGATTCATTACATATTTCATGTCCATTGGTTCACTGGCTCATCGATTTTCTATAATGCACTTCGTTGGGGATGATGAGTCCTTCTCTCAGAAGGCATAACCCACACGATGGAGCCATTGTAAAACTATCAGGGCATTTGGCTGCAGAGAGAGGGAGAGTTTGATCATCAGGATTTCCCTTCTAACTGGGCTTGGAAGCACTGACCACTTTTCTTGTATATGGTCATTAATGATACAGAGTGGCCACATCTTTTCTTTGGGACTTACTGTTCTTAGGGAGGAGGTCTCGGGGTGCAGTGGCTGAGGTATTTGGCTGCTAACCAAAAAGGTCGGTGGTTTGAACCCAATAGCTGCTCCACAGGAGAAAGATGAGGTAGTGTGCTTCCGTAAAGATTATAGCCTTGGAAACCCTATGGGGCAGTTCTACTCAGTCCTATAGTGTCACTATGAGTCGGAGTCGACTTGATGGCAGTGGGTTTTTTTTTTGTTGTTGTTATTCTCTGGAGATCTGCAGATAGTCCTGGAACTGCTGAGTTTGAGTTGGGTCCTTGAATAGGATGCCATGATGATGCTTGCAAGCATCCTTTAAAGCTTTATGGGTTAAACTCTGTGACCTTACTATTCAGGTTTCCAAATAGAAAACAATTGGGGAAGGGGTGGCAAAGGAGGCAGTGATGCACTATTAGAAATCACATATGGGATATGCAGAATATAAGGCAGTAATAGGTGACAAATTTAATTTTGAAAAAACAAAAAATCATAAACCACTCTAACTCACCAAATGCATTTTGACTCTGACTTTACAAATACTTGCTAAAAATCTTCCCTTGCACTGTGCCTGGCCATGGTAGGTGATCAGCAAGTGAATGACTGAATGATTGATTAAATGCATGCTGGGAAGTAAGCATTCTTAGGGATAGTTTTTTTTTTTTTTTTTCCCCAAATGATTATGGGAATTAAAAAAAAAACTAAACTCACTGTTGTCGAGTTGGATCCAACTCATAGTGACCCCTCCTTGAGTTTCCGAGGCTGGTAGTGTAGTGCCTAAGGCATTTGACTACTAACTAGAAGGCTGGCGGTTCAAACCCACCAGCCACTGCTCAGAAGGAAGGTTGGGCAATCTACTTCCATAGTGATACTGCCTTAGAAACCCAAGGAAGGATCACTTTGAGTTGGCCCCGGCTCCATGGCAGTGAGTTTGGTTTATCACTACAGAAGTAGATTGCCCAACCTTCTTTCTGAGGAGTGGCTGGTGGGTTTGAACCACCAGCCTTCTGATTAGTAATCAAATGCCTTAGGCACTATGCTACCAGAGCTCCCTATTAGGGAATGAACAGGTTACAATTCAGTATCAGGAATGCTCACGCTACAGTTCTTTGCTCAGGTTACAGTTCTTTGATCAGGATGACTTCCTCTTAGCTGTGCTGCTGGTGCGCTTCTCTCTGGCCTCAGTCTCTCAGCCCTGCAGCCCCTTGACCTCTGCCCTGCTTGGGCAAGTGTTGGAAAGCTCTTTTAGCTCTGCCTAGTAAGGGATGCACCTTACTACAACAGCAAGGTAGGAGCTCTGGTAGCATAGTGCTTAAGGCACTTGACTGCTAACCAGAAGGCTGGCAGTTCAAACCCACCAGCCACTCCTCGAAAGGAAGATGGGGTAATCTACTTCCATAGTGATACTGCCTCGGAAACCCAAGGAGGGGTCGCTATGAGTCGGGTCCGACTCGACGGCACATAACAACAACAACAATACACCAGCAAGGCTCTTGCCTGAAGGCACTCAGCTTTTTCTCTCTGTGGGCCAGGAAGCCCTCCACTCTGTCTCATGCTAGTCTCTTGGTCCTGCTGCCTCTGCTGTCACTGTTTCTCTACTGCTTCTTGTCGCTATCTCTGCTGTCACAGCTCTCTGTTTCCTGGATCAAAGAGGTTCAATGCAGGGATCTCGGTCCAAAGGATGCGCTCCACTCCTAGCTCTTCTTTCTTGATGGTAGTGAATCCCCCTTAGGAGTAGTTTTCTGCTGCCTCCACTAAGTGCTGTATGGAGAAATTGGCAGTGTATGTTAAATTATTTAAAGCAAAAAACCAAACTAAACTCACTGCCATCTAGTAGATTCTAACTCATAGTCGCCCTGTAGGACAGAGTAGAACTGTCCCACAGGGTTTCCAACGCTGTAAATCTTTGCAGAAGCAGGCTGCCTCACTGTTCTCCCGCAGAGCAGCTGGTATATTCAAACTGCTGACCTTTCTTTGGGTGGTAGCTGAATGCCTTAACCAGTAGGCCACCAGAGCTCCTTGTTTAAATCAAAGGAAAGGAAAAAAATGTGATTTCCTAGCTTTGCTGCATTAACCCCTGCATTGCTATCCTCCTCCTTTTAAACAGTTAACATTTATATTGCTTATTTAATTTTAGTTCCTAAGGCATTTGACTGCTAACCAGAAGGCTGGCGGTT